AAGAAGAAGAAGAAGAAGAAGAAGAAGAAGAAGAAGAAGAAGAAGAAAAAAGGGTGACAGGAAATAGATTCTGAGTCATTGCGTGTTTTTCTGTCACTCCAAACTGATTTGTAAAGTAAGTTCTACTTCCAAAAAAAACCCTAACCCCAGCTGCAAATAAAAAGATAACATCCACATCCAAAGGACTTTCAACAGGAACTTTAATCAACTTTAATGCTCAGTTTCCAAGATCGTTCTGTTACTTGCTTAATAGAGTAAACATTTCTTTATTTTTTAAATCACTCTGAATACATTAGAGAGATGGTTTGTATCAGTTCAGCTTTTCTGGACCTTCTGCTGCCGCTGATCTTTCCTTTGTGTATCTTTGTAATGGCTTTTTAATTGTGAGTGTTTCTGTTCGTTGGCAAATAAGATAATTCAGCATGTTAACAGTTAGATTAGATTAGTCAAAGACCAATTGTTTGTGGCAGGAGACTTCAACCCTTGTGAAACAAGGACAGAGAAGGCACTGAGGAGGCTAATGATTTTCCTAGTTTGGCCCCGACATGAAAATACTGCAGATGGGTGGGAGAATAAAATAGCTTAATGGCAAAAACAGCTCCTGGTCATGGTCCAACTAAGATTGAAGCCTGCTGGAGCCAACTGAAATCCTATAACCTATTAAGCACTAAAATGTTGTGAACGTTGTGTTGGATTTTGGCCTACAGCAATTAGCCAGAAGAGTGAAATTCAAGCACTGAGGTTCAGTTCCTTGGTATCAAGCAATATTTTAAGAATCAATAGATATGATCTTTGGCAGTGGTGGGATTCCAAATTTTTACCTACCGTTCTATGAGAGTGTGCTTTGCGTGTGTGCGCAGCACTCAAAAACCGCCCTCTGTGTCAGTGCTGGTGTGGTGAGCTATTTTTTAGCTCAGCTGAGGTGTAGCAATCTGCTCTGCCCTGCGAATCAGCTGAGCTAAAAAACAAGGGGACATGGGAGAGGAAATCGCGGGAGTGGGTGGGTAGGGCCAGTCAGAGGTGGTATTTGCCGGTTCTCTCAAAACTACTCAAAATTTCCACTACTGGTATGCCAGGATCAGTCTGAACCAGCTGAATACCACCTCTGATCCTTGGGAACAGTCTCTTCCATCCAGCTATCCTCTCTAAACCACCAATGAGCACTCTTTCTTTCTTTCCTCCTTTCTTTCTCTTTCTCTTTCTTTTTCCTTCCTTCCTTCCTTCCTTCCTTCCTTCCTTCCTTCCTTCCTTCCTTCCCTCCCTCCCTCCCTCCCTCCCTTCCTTCCTTCCTTTCCTTCCTTCCTTCCTTCCTTCCTTTCCCTTTACACCTTTGAATTCTTTCTATCTTTTTTACTTTCTTTTAGCTGGAATTAGTTTTTATTATTGTAATTATAATCTGTAATAAAATTACTTTTAAAATGTAAGTGAATTTGGGATAAAAACAGCTTTAATTGAACTTAACTTTGAGCCAATTGGGTTGACAAAATGAAATCAATATGATTACTCTGCAAGTGCTTTTTAAAAATTATTTTGCTTTGTACCTTATTAAAAATTACAGCTGAGCAGCAACTGCTGAAGATCTCGGAGAATGTCATTTGTAGATGGTAAAGAATATCTTACTGCTTTTTTTTCCCTCAAGCTGAGCCACTTTAAGATATGTGTACTTCATCTCCCAGAATTCCCCAGCTAGGCATCCTCAGAGTTGAAGTCCACACATCTTAAAGTGGCTAAGGTTGAGAACCCCTGTCCCTACTGGTCAACTACAAAAACACCCACTTTCATTCTCTCCTCAAAATTAGCCAGAATTAAGCAGGCATTTCACACACACACAAACCATGCTTTTCAGAGTTGCTGTCTTTTCCAGATGGACAGATGCAACTTGTTATGAAAAGAAGGATTAAGCCTATGATAGCATTCACCTGTGCTTCCAACGCAGTGGTGGTATTCTACCAGTTCGGCCCAGTTCTGCTGAGCCAGTAGCGGCAATGAGCAGCGGAGACCGAACCATTTCTCTCTGATGCTCTGTGTTGGATCCATCCACCTGCCTGGGCTCCCATACTAAACTTTATGTCCTGCTTTTGAAGTGCAGCTGCTTTGCGCGGCACAGCAATTGCCGCGCGGCAGCTGCTGAAGCACCAGGGAGAGTGCAGGACTGCAGGAGGTGACTCAAAATGCCTCTGCGCCTGGGCAAAATGTGTGTTTGGCATGCACGGGCATGCAAAGTGCGTGCATGTGCGCAAAGCGCGCCCACCAAGCCACGCCCACCAAACCAGTGGTCAAAATATTTGAAACACACCACTGTTCCAGATATCTACCCCAAATGAATTCCTTAGAATGCTCTTTTATTCTGCTGTTCCTCAGAGTTTCTATCATCATCTGGCAACTATTAAAACAGGCATAGGAATGTTTCCTAGTGGAGTTGTCGAAAAGTGGAGGAAACACAGTGATCTGGACTGTAATAGACTTATTTTCCAGACAGGTGCATTTCATACCGCATTTCATCATCATCATCAGAGGTGGTATTCAGCCAGTTCCGACTGATCCTGGCAGTCCGTTAAGGAAAATTTTGACTGCTTCAGAGAACCGGTAGGGAAAATTTTGAGCGGCCTTGCCTACCCGCCCCTACTCTTTCCCCTCCCCTCTCCTATATTCTGCTGTTTATTAGCTCAGCTGATTCACGTGGCAGAGCAGATTGCTGTGCCTCAGCTGAGCTAAAAAACAGCACAGCTCACCAGGGAAGGGTCATCTCTGAGCCCTGCGTGCGCGTGGTTCACACGTTTGGTGCATGCACACAATAGGCATACCTGCACAGCTCACCAGCATTGATTTAGGGCAGAGGTGGTATTCAGCAGGTTCTGACCAGTTCTGGAGAACCAGTAGTGGAAAATTTGACTAGTTCGGAGAACCGGCAAATCCCACCTCTGACTGGCCCTGCCTCCATCTATTTTCTGCCTCCC